GCAACTAACTTTAAAGTCGACTTTATTTTGACTATGACTACGGGCCATTATTTTTAATTTATCTTTTTTCGCTGACTATGTTAAGCGATTTCTTCCATACAAAGTGTGTTCAACATTTTTTTTGTATTGGAGAAAATGAGCAACACCGCTAACAAAAAAAATTGTTGAGCTAATTCAAACTTGCACAATATTATACTAAAGATGAATGGGCTATAAAACTGCATACCCGAATTATTTCTAAAAGTTCCAAATAAAAAGTTTGAAATTTTGATTACCATTTTTCGAACTTCGTCGAATTATTATAAATCTTATACAAAGTTTAAAGCTTTGAGTTATTTGATTTTCATTGTAGTATGCACTATATTTTCCTAAAAAAATAAATTAAAAATAATATTTACAAATAGATGGTCAAAACTTGAAAAATAAAATCGTTTCTAATTATCCGGCCACCAGTGTATATGTACAGTAGTTTTTAGTTTATTTTGTTTATTTAATGCTTATTATTTTTTTAATAAAAGTCTAGCTGGTTATACAACAAACACCATATAAAATAATATTTCAAACTTTGTACAAAAATTATAAGAAGTATACAAAGTTTCACCAAAATTTCAAACTTTTTAATCAGATTTTTTAGCGACTTGAAACTTACACCTCATACACTATATCTTAAAGGCTACAAAACTCTATACCAAAATTTTTTCTAAAGATTCTGATTAAAAAGTTTGAAATTTTGGTATACTTATAATTTTTGTACAAAGTTTGAAATATTAATTTATATGGTGTTTGTTGTATAACCAGCAAGACTTTTACAAAAAAAATATTAAGCATTAAATAAACAAAAGACAAATAGTCAAAAGTGGTCAAGATATCGTACTGCTATTATTTTGTGGACAACTGTATGTATATATTAATAGGCTAACATAAATTTTGTAAGATCCATACCTTCAAAAGCAATTTCATAATATAAACAAAATTCTGTTTTGTAGACAATTTATTTATTTTATTTCCTATTACTAGACTATATGTTATCTACATAGATATACATATGTATTTGTAATATACATAAATATGTACATATATGTAAGTATATTCGAGTGCATCACTCTTCATAAAAAAATCGGCACTGTTTTTTCCATTGAACCCATTTGGAATATACAGCCAGCACCAACAATGCGCAATAATAGTGTAAATAAATAAAAATCATCGAAACATCTGCGTATGCATACTCTTGACACTGAAAATACCTTCCAAATGAGTTTTATATAAATAAAATTAAATAATAATTTTCAAAAAACTAAATATTAATGGTATTTCAGTCTTTCCATATTAAATAGAGCCGATAGCAGAAAATGATAACGTTCCCGAAATTTTGGAGGAAAACGTAACATAACCGTTTGGAATACATCGAGCTCATTGATAAAAATAAATATATATGTACGAATAAAGCAACTTCAGGTGTTGATAAGGAACTCTTTCACCTTTCTAATTTATATATACTCTGTTGCGTATGTACACTGACTTTCACTTTGCCTGTTTTTTAATTTCATATCAATTTGTAAAAGTTCTAACTTCATCTCTGCTTCCGAAATCTCTAATTCGTGTTTTTTTTTGGCCCACTGATGTCTTTCGGCTGCTCTCTTGTTCTCATCTTCCCAGAAAGCTTGTTGATGGTCAAACTTTTGCTTTCCCTTTTCATTTTTCACCGCTAGTTTTTCTGATTTCTTCTTTTTAAGCAGTGTTGGGTTCCATGCGCTCCAATCGGTTGTAATGTCCTAAAAATTTTACATTAATTTAGAAAAATAATATAGAATAAATAATATTTAGAATATACTACATTTTCTACGGCCTCAGTTGCTTCAACTGGCTCCGCTGTGTAGCTTCTCATGGAGTCCTCCAAAATTTCGGGAACGGCGTCATTTTCTGCTATCGTCTCTATTTCATATGTAATGACTGAAATACCAGTAATATTATTAAACATCAATAACTATCACGTGTAAAGATATGTACAAAAAATCTTACCATCACTATCAAAACTGTTGGACAAGCCGGTTGCCGACTGGCCCATTAAAGCTGCTAGCCTGTCTGTGTTAGAGTCAGTATAGCTTCGGAATTGGCCACCACCTGTTTTGTACATTTCCCTTCTCTCTTCGGCTAGGGACTTTCTTGCTTTTCGTTTCAAATTTTCGTATTTTTCTCGCAAGTTCTTCGGCCCTCTTTTAACACCCATCTGGGCCTCAAACGCAACATCAATTTTCTCCCACACCTTTTTTTTCTCCTCGCAGAATACAGCATCAGTCCTTTTATTTTCTAAAATCATGGCGTGCTGCTCGGCCAAAGATATTAATAAAGTCTCCTCCGCGCTGGTAAAGTTTGGAAGGCGACTTTTTCTTATATTTGAATCCATTTTTGTTATTGTCCACAAAACACCAAGCTATTCCTGCGAGATTCTTTAAATTGTTAAAGTGCGTCCATTTTCTATACGACCATGTAAAATGAATCCAAAAGTGATGTGATATTTGAAGGAACATGTGGGTTATCATATAGCCTATTCCCGTACTCCAGGATTTGCAAGTTTTACAGGAAGGTTTCCGTCCGCCACGTTCATACAAGTTGTATTAAAGGCGGAAACAGCTTTTCCTGTAAAACCTGCAAATCCTGGTTACGGGAATAGGCTAATAATTAACGAGCTGGTACACAAATTGGTAAGCACAATATCTATAACACAATTGTCAATTGTTTAAAACAATTTTAAAACAAGAAAACTGCAAACAAAAACCACACAAAAACAAAAATCAGCTGTGTAGTCTGCTTTTGTCGATTCACAATGCAACTTTTGTGAACTCTTTATGAAAAAATTCACAATGATCGACATAATCGGAGGTAAGCTAATCGGACCTTGGTGAAAACGAAATTGTCAATTAAAGATATCAGTGATTAACCAATCGCTGATTAAAAATAATTTAATCAGTCTTTAAGAAACCGGCCCTTAGACGCCAAATGAATTGAAATATCACGACCAAGTGTGCGAGAGTGTAGTCGTCATGTAATCGTTGCATCATTATTGTG